TATCACCTTCACATAATAGAACTTACACTTCTCGTAGCACAGATCGACCCATTACTTAACCCTGCCTTATATGAACCAAATTCCTGCGGCCACAGTCAATCTCAGCATACAAAAAAACCATGAACAAGAAATACATGACAAAATGAGAGTAAAATTTTTGTCTACCTAATTTCAGTACAATCTTCATAGTGCAGATTGGGCTGCTATCGAATGCGATGTGAGCATCAGACCAGTGTTTCTCAACAACGGTCCTTTTCTTATTCTCCAGGTCTGAAATCTGAATCACAGTGTTGTATACGTTCGATAATAGCTATAGCGTTGAATGGAACATGTACTGACATATCGCGAAGCCATGATCAAAAATAAAATCTGCGATATCCAGACAACATGGTGTAAAAGATGACATCGAATATAGCCAGAAAATTTTATTCGTAGCAATGAACATCCACTCATGTAACTATCAGCCATGTGATGTACTCTATTCGAATCATTGAAAGATTTCTCTTCTAAATATGCAGTTCTACATTCTTCAAATTGTTTATATCTGTAATCACTTTTAGTATTTATTACATTTCACCGCATGCAATCTGATCGATAAGACGAATACGCATTTGGATCTTGTGCACGTCTGGAATATGTTTGTGATTTTTGTATTGAGCATAGAAAAAACTAAAAACTCCGATCCTTGTTAGCATGCATTTGCGATTCATAGTGTATCGATCGCCTCTTACAAATATAATTAAAAGAATACAATACAGGAAAAGATAACACATGTTATAAACATGGAACTTTATGGGATCAGAAGGATTCGTGCTGATGATCTTTGTTTTTTGGAAAGTAGGAGACACCAAGAAATGTTCAGAGCAGACGTTGCATTCCGAATTTTATGCAGCAAATCCTGACTTTGCAAAGATATATTCGTGATCGATGGGCATAACTTTCATCAAAATATTTACAAACATTATGGGTGCTACAATACAAACTCCCGCATAAATTTGACAAATTTGTGTTAGAAGCGATTGTAACGACAAGATATATTGCTGAAAAAGTAGATAGTGAATCTAACCATAATTTGGATGTATTCGACTTTGTGGTTAGGCGTGGCTAGACACACAATACTGCACGTCCTATATCTTCTATTATGTATCAAGCAAAATTGTGTTTCTACACTTTTTTTTTTGATTGAGTGTTTGGTTGTGCATGGCATCTTGATGGTGTCAATGTAGCGTATGACAATCATATGTGTATATATGGAGCACATTTTGGGATCGGTTTGGACGGTAAAGAAGTATCGACACAAATGTATTACTCTGTGCCATTTGTCAACCTCTACATCCTCTCTGTTCTAAAATTGCAACATCAAACCGTTGGAGAGACAGAAAGCGTCTGGATGAAACCCCACTCGGCTCAATTCATGTGTTTCTACCTTCGTGACATGATATCAGAAATGTTTGTCGCTCTGCACAACCGGCCTAAACCGCGAAATCGAAGAACTTGATAGCAATGTGTTGCTTGTTTCTAGACAGAAACCAACGAAATATACTGTTACAACCGTATAACCGCACTACAAGAGAACAGCCGTAAACGAGATAGTGGTTAAAGCTGCAATGTTCATCCTGATTGCAAGACATACTTTATTCACTACATTATATGGTACAAAGTTTTCAGTTATTTTGTTGTTGGTGTTTCCAGAAATAATTCCGTGACAAACAAAATGCTGATAGCTGGTACTACAGTAAGCACTGTGGTCGAGAGGATGCACAACATGTAGATAAAGCTCGCTGATGATATCTTGCTGAAAGACATGTGATGAGAACATTGTTTCAAGGGAAGACGATCAATGATATCATAATGATGAAAAGTAGCCTGTCAACAATTGACAATTTAAGCGTTTCATACGTGATAAAATCATCTATAGAACAGCATTTGTGCCATCTTCAATGACACTGTTCAAGAAGGATTCTGCGACAATGGCAGAATGTTGTGCAGCTGTCGTGCCAAAGTGTCTTCAATTATATTAAGCGAATTGCTGACACATGTATGACTCTGCTAGAACTAGATATGCCTGACACCGGATTCGTAGAGTCAAAGAAGATATGTGTTTGAAAGTTCTGTTGGTTGAGAACCCTATGAAAAACCAACCAATATTGTGTTTGTTTAACATGCATAATTTTATGATTATGTGACAGGACAAAAAGGTCAACATTTCTACGTCACTCTACAAGCACTGATGGATAAAAGGCATATCAGTCGCTGTTGCCAAACTTACATGACCGAGATAGAACGATAAGAAAGTTCTCTGAAATGTCGCAGGCACAAAGAGACCTAGTGATAAATCGTATATCTAAGGGCTATCATGACAGAGAGTTGGATAGCAGTTGTGTTTTAATATTGCGCGGATTACTTTTTTAATTTTTGTAGCTATACTGCATATGTGCGCGAATACAAGTCTTGCCAACCACTCAATGTCGCTTCATGTGTTGGCACCTGCAGCTATAGAGCCTTATTAGCAACATAGAGGGATTGCTAACAAGAAAAAAGTCGGTTGCACATCATTGATCCGGTATGAAGATCAACTATTCTGGTTGGGTAACGTGTGAAGAGATCGGTAGATGGCTTTTGTGCGATTAAAGCGGTCAGCCGAATCAATGAACACGATGAGTACGATTTGACCCATCAGTCAAATATCACAAAGAAATAAAAACTAGTGCTGTGCTAGTTACTGCTTTCTTGGTATCGAATATTCCTACTGATGACTCCATTTGTGCCGAAGGTTCGCACAAATGTTGAACGAGCATATCAGCGCAGAAGTGATTATGAAACATTGCATAACGCATGACTCGAATCGCTGATCCGGCTATCATGTCATTCAGGGCATGCTAGCTACTTGGTAATCGCTGCAAAATGAATTATCCTAGTCAAAGAAGAAACTGAACACCTCTTCGATATCCACACACTGATGCAATGCGCGTTTCACTCAGATATTCTATTGCAAAACTTAGAATGAAATATTAGGCAAGCATCAACGTTCACTGTGGTGTTTTATAACAGACCAAACAGCGTTCGTAATTTCGACTAGCTAAGTTTCATGTATTGACATTGATTAAGTTATGATGTCTTCCAGAGATTTAAGTATTATAGCAGTTGTTCCTGGGCATCGTACTGATCTCGGTATGGCAAATATGAGATTTTTTGGCTTGCGAACAGTCGGCATAAACAGCTGGATTGTGATTTTCAAAAAATAAACAGCTCTTTGCTGCTAACCTGGTGCCAGAATGATGAACTGTACTAGCATTATGGTGTTGATAAGTAGGAGCAGCGTGATTCTGCAAACATAGAGATACAGATTCCGAGTTCGTTGGTGCTGTTTTGGTTGATAAAATTGTGGATAGCGAAATGACACGGAGAAACGAGTGATGAACGAAGAAACATGTTGGATCGAAACCAGTCGCACTTTGTAAAAGAGTTTCGTGTCTTTTATATGAACAAGATCTTTCATGTAAATTCGCTGCTTTGAACAAGATTTTTTTGATATGCAATCTGCACTTCACAGAGCTTGATTTTTGAGAAAGTGTATATTGAATATTTGCGATGCAGGTCATGGTTTTTTCATGGCGGAGATCGAGAAGATAGTGCCTTTGAAGGTATGTCATTCACTTTGTCGGGCATGTACAACAGTCCTTAGATAGCAGTTATGTCTCCGCGATCCAGAAATCCAAGATGTACGGGGTATTGCTGGTAGTGACATGCTGGAAAGTCCATCTGTACAGAACCTTGACCATCCGTACGATATAGAAGGCGGCCGTGAGTACAGCCACATTCACTAACCTTATTACTAGAATACGAGGACAAACCTCGACTCTGAGGTGTGGATCGACCAAGCTTATTGGAGGTGTAAGTTCCTGGCCGCGTGCGAGAATTGTATCTTGTATTGATAATCGGGAGACTGAATATAGTGGATTTGCCCGAGTGCGTCTCGAAATGGTGTTTGTGAAGAAAATCAACAGTGCGAACATTGTATCAGCTGCTAGACACGGGTAGCGTTCTTGTCCCATGATGTGGATAGATTCTTCAGCCAGTTCTAGCAGATGATCATGTATTTACACGCGCTGGATAGGTGGTAAAAACAGGAACATCTTTGTTTATAGTGTAGTCTTTGAGAGGTATTCCATTATCATCGCTAGCCAGCTGATAGATGACCAAGTCGCGCTCGCGAGGGCTCGTCATACCAGCTGTAACATGCAGATCATAAATTACCAACCAGGGTTATTGCTAATTTTGAATTGATGGCCCGATTTTTTTGCACAAAAAGTTCGACCTAGAAACTGCCGGTGACTCACAGCGTGTTCCAATAAGCACATTCCTGTCACCATACAAGATATTAAAGATTTGATATGGTGGAGAGAATACACGAACTCTGTTGATCGTGCGAAAAATTGCTCAAGTTTTCAGAATATCTCTCTAATGGACAAAGCCACGGCTCTACTGAAGACTCAGATACAACTAGATAGCTCGAAATATTCAGAAAATAATTGACAGCGGCTCTGATTGAATTGCACGCTCGATGAATGGTATGATCTGGCTGTATGTGTGGTCATATGTTACAGTCGCTAGAGTGATTTTAATACGCACGTACAGTGGTAATGCCATGATCACGGATGATCTTGGAACCAGACTGAGAGTATACAAGAGAATCGTTGTTGAGCGGATCTAGACAATACTGAGAAAATGCACATAAAGGCGGCAAGGGTATGGCAATTCTATATTTATAAAGGAAAGATGATATTCTATAGTACTAGCGAATATTTATGCGTAGAAGAACGATATATAGAACGGACCAAGTATTTTTTAAGTTATTGAGTGGATCAACAGGCATTCCTCAGTTTATGTGATACATAATCTTGTTTTATGTGCATAATTGTATCAGAACTGGTTAGTTTGGTAGAGTGCATGTGACTTAGGAGACGTGGAATGCATAAAGGGCGGTGGACAGGCATATTTTTTGTAACTTGAAGTATGTCACGAGCAAACCTCTGACATGGATGGAGAATGAGACTAGAAACATGATGTGTTGAATAAATGTCGGTACGCAATCATTTAGTGATCCTATGATGATTGCACGAAGAAGCACAATCAACCTGTCATTACCGTCTACACACGATGTCAGCCAAATATTTTACCTCAGTATGAAGTTATATTAATTATTCTCGTGTCACTTGTCCAAAAGCTGTGATAAGTAAATTCTAGGACTTGTTTATCAAGCTGTGTCAAATAATAGCTTCTGCTCAAAAAATACTATAACAGTGAAAAAAATAGTGTGATTATTTTCAAGTGCTTTTGGCCTGTAAAAACAGCCTCGACTTAACATTCTCTTGATCACTTGTCTCGCAATATTTTTTGGCATAGCAGCCAATTATTTTAGTTCCTCTGCTCAAGTATTTTTCATCAGTGTATGCACCCTTACTTCTTTTCTGTGGTGTATGTGCCCTTCTCATAAGCATATCAAGTGTTTTACCCTTCTTGTGTTGTCTGTCGAAACAAAGCACAGTTTGAAATCTTCCCTATGGTCCCACATATTGTTTTCTACAATTCATATGCGAGCAATGCATTAACACGCTATGTACATTTATGAACATTGATCAACTGGATTGAAAGCTGGCATGATCGCTGCTTATGCCCGGAATATTTCTTGAAAACAATCTCTTGGGCCACTCCACAGTTACTTATCGGCATGGTTCGACGCGAAACCTTACGGTGTTTTGTGGGTTAAAGCCAACGATTATCTTAGTTGGTATGCTTGTTGTTAAATATTATTGCTTAACAGAGGCGCACTTTCATTTTGATCCGCTGCAATCATTTCTGGTGTTCCAAAAGTGCAAACATGTAGCACCATTGAAGTTTGAAACCGAAAATCAACAGGTCAAATAAAGTTTTGATATGATAACATAGTGTTATTACGTATTTTTATCTTGCCCGCATCCACATTGATATATTTTCTTTCACACAGAGAAAATGTTTGCATCTGACTAACAGGGTATGAGCATGGTATTTTACTTGTCTTTCTGGCAAATATATTTTATATGGTTAGATTGTTGTTTCTGGACAATTCAAAGTTCATTTAGGTGTCAACTAGCATGTCGGATTTTATCTACATATTGCCTGCATTGTAATCTATAGAACATTCGAGACATCTAATTGCATGATACCAGGCACAACACGGTTCTACTGCGGTATTACGAAAGATAATAACTAATTCGTAATAATATGCATATTTTATGATCTCTAACGCAATTGAACCAGAGCTGTGTTTAATATGTTTTATAAGGTTGATAGTTTTTAGATTTTGATCGGCAGTATCTGGTTTTCTGGGTAAGTACACATGGATTCGCTAGTGTAAATTTGAGATACGAAAATAATGGATGTAAAGCTTCATTCGCGGATTGAAATGTGTCTGCACTCGTAGTCATAATTGTGCATCAACAGAAATATAGTGTTTTTTACGTTCTGCCCTGCATGATTTTGTGTGTGGAAATTAGTTAAACGAAAAACATGCTAGAACAAGACGAAAAACAATTATAATAACACGATTGTTAGGCTGTTGTTGCTTACGCCATCCATCGTTCAGTTTTTATACAAGTTTCTGGAAACCACGAAACATGAAGAAATTAACAGATTTTCGCACCTAATGGTAATTTAGTTAAACACATCTCAACAACGAAGAGGCATGCTACATCTTGAATACTGCCTTATCTACAGCTGCAGTCTTCCCGTGAGATGCTACAGTAAACTACAAAATTACAACAGTCATTGGACATGAATATGCCATTAGAGAATACATATTAAAAATGCATCGAACGACAATACACTGCATAAAAAAAGTGTTGACAGGATCATGCCGAACGGAACATATATTTTCGTCCTCGAGATGATCACATCATTTATTGCCGGTGATTCCACTATAATAATGCGCGTATGTTATTGTTGGGTAACTTCAAATTAATTTAGCTACCCACAATGTTCCATTCGTTAATAAAAATTCTTATCTTGTCGTACGTGATGACAAGACATAATCACTATCGCCACGGGATTGTGCACGGTCAAACACTTTGCAAATCGGGCATGTTGGAAGAATCAAAAAAATTAAACATGTCTTCATTCCTGGTATCAAAAAGACTTATCGGAATATCCTGCGATAATATCGGGTCAATATCTCTGTGCGCATTATTGAATAGATAAGGCATAATCGGCAGTCTAATATCCATGTCGTGCCATATACTCTCTCCGCACACCTTTCTTTGGCATCATATCAAATGTTTGTAAGAAATGCATTTGCTCAAGTATCTCAAAGGCAACATGTGTGTGTTATCTGCTATGCTATTATTATAAAGAATTTGGACATACCAATCTATCCACAGATATACTCGGCAAAGTCAAACTCATCTGCTTTTGTCAGCTGTAACATGCTTGTCGACATGCTCACCAGCGACTGGGAATTGCGTGGAAATGACCTGCAAATTTTATGCATGCTTGATCCTTGCGCTGATGAGGAGATGACATGTACAACTGACAACAAACACAGTGTTCCGGAAGAAATCACCACTTCCAAACGTCTCAGAGCTGTTCATTTGAGGAGTAACTCAACATAATCTCTGCTCAAGATGCATCACTGCTTACTTCCATCGCCAGCATTCATCATCGCTTTCATTTGGCGCATCACGTACATCGACAGGTATAAACTAGATGATCAAACTTTCGCTCGGGTAGTTCATCGCTACAATATATCTAGAGCAATACAAAGCGGTTTTGTGCTTTTTTGTACAGATCTATATGGCATACAGCACCAGCACAACAATATTCACCCAGAAAATGCTTAATGTTGTTCAGGCATGAACTAAAAAGCAGCTCTGCCTTGCGTATTTCCTGATGTCGGTCTTGCCTACAGAACAAGACTGTACCAACCGACAATCAACAGCATATCTGTTCGCTTTTTCTTCCACAAGGCATACTGGCATCGCTCTTCTGTTCTCAGTATTTGATTCAGGTCTTAGAGCGAATGCCTGTCGTTGAATATTTCCGTTAGAAGCACATGAAGATTGTCTGTCAGCACATTCTTCGTATTACTAGTGTTGTGCAAGGCTTGCTCATGTCTTTGATGATTCTCATCATGCTTTCAAAAGACATGATGGCTTTAAAACAGAAATAAACATTTGTTGCAAGATGATCAAACACTACACAAAATGATTGAAACATTTCAACCTCACTTTTGGCATAGAAGACCGGCTACAGCAAAATGCATTGAATAAAGACCGCCTATCAACAATTAGTTATATCATCATATTACATCATTCTTTTTCTCATCGAGTTGAACATAATAATTGTTTATTTTGGTGTGGGCACCATTGACCACACATTCGCACCGCTTTTAACAATACCTTGTTACGCGCACAAGCAAACATTTTATTGCTCTACTGTCCAGCAAACAGACAATCATTAGAACCGCTGTTCGTGCTAGCCGAAGCATATATCATCATCAGGTTTTTTCATCGATCTCAATAGTGTGCATTATTAACACATACAAATTTATTTTCAGATGTGACATGTTTGTCTATCTGTAAGTACATGTTGATTCTATTATAGCCAATTTGCATGATTTACATGTCAGACCTGATTTATTCACAGGACACAGCTCGTCAACCGGGAACAAACTCAATAAAAATTGCATATTTTTCCGTATGTAGCGAATTGATGCAAATTCCAAGCCACAAAAAAGCAAATTATTTCTTAATTTATGATTACAAAAGAGTTTAAGCTATCTAATTATGCATTAAAGGAGCTGAATTTTGTTTTCTTAAAATAGACTGAATGTTCTGATCTCATTTTGCATCGATAACAACGGAGACAAATACATCATAAGAAAATTACATATCGGTTTACAATCATGTTTTATTGCCAACCCATCACGATATAGGTGTTTAAGCATTACATGGTTTATCAAGAATACAGAAATGTAACAAAACAACCACAAACGGAAAGACAGAGAATAATAAGTAATATTTGCATAAACATGTGCAACAACTAGTAGCTATGGTATGAATATTATTATCTACATTACTAAATCAAGTAAACATGGTATGCATCGACGAAGAAGGACTGAAGTGTTTCTAGCACAGCCACAAAAAGATTAATTGATGGATCAATATTATGCAGGCAAGATGCTGTGCAAGGCTCCTCCTCGATGATGATGCAACAAATGGCACCTTCACGGTATTAAATGTCACAAGGCGAGATGAGCATCACAAATTTTGTGTTACACTAACCGACGCCAGAACTATAAATCAGCTAAGTTACGAATATAAGGATTCGTTTATGCATATCACTGATGAACGCTCTTTTATCTACCAGCAACAAAAATCTACATCTGATCTGTAGAGTGAAGGATATAATTTGAATTGAAATTACACTGAGAACACGGCAAATGTTTGGGACAAGAACAAATTTTTGGCTTATGAACAACTGTCATGTAAAAAGTGAAATATCGACTTGTGTTCGACTTATAAGTAGGAAACCACAAAATCGAGTTTTACAGTTGTTTAAGGCTTATATCAAGCAGAAGATGATATTGTTCTTTATTCCACTATTTAATATGTTAAATTTGCAATTTCTGAATTTGTTTCTCTTTTATGTTCCCAAATTCGTTCTTTGCATAATCCGTTTAGTAACGAATAAGTGCGCATTCATATTTTAAACCTGCTTGGTACGGTCATTATCCAAGCAGGTTGTGTTACTGAACTATACAGGTGTGAAAATATGGTGTACTCTCACAGAATGCTAGGTCAGGTTTGATACAGTGGTGATCGGGATGATACAGATGTAACAAAGAAAGAAAGGTACTGGTCATAAGTATGCATACTTCATCTCAACGAATAGCCAAATAAAATTACTAGTACGAATTGATGCTTCTTCTGATCACATTAATCGAACAGAAGAGTGATACGTAGTTTATTTAAAAGAAAATACCTCTAATGGCATGAGTGAGAGATGGTTATTGAACAAGCTTTCAAAGAAATGCCAACGGGAGTCATCAGCACGCACCACTTAACAACATTCACCAAACAATGGCAATATATACCGTGCAAAAGCCTCTCACATAACCTTGAGGAACAGAACGAAAGAGTAAACACGTCTAAAACACGTACAACAATACTGAAATCTCTCATGCAGATTTTTATGCACGCATCACACGGATCCACTCATTTGAACAATGACGCTGCACAGGATGTAAATCGAATGCAAGCTGCTTAGCACTGCTGTTTCAAGTTTTGTGTTCAATCACCATCCTGCACTACATACGAGCAGATTGGAATAACGGGTTAGGAATTACCAGACTTACAACACAAACGGATCGTAACAATAGAACGACGACAGTGCATCCATGAACACATTTTTGTTTCTCTGAATGTACCATTTTACAAATCTTTGCGCGTTCGTGGCAAAGCGTTTCGTTTTCTTTCATGCAATTCAAGTTGTTTGCATCATTAAGACAGGACATCATTCATAACATCGGTGTTTAAATGATACGGTCATGCGCACCACACATAACAGTTCCCTACTAATCGTACATTCTATATTTGTAAAAGTAAATACGTGCATACCTCTAACCGCTAGTAAACATTTCTACCAAATACCCCCTTCATTTCTCATCAGTTCACTTTTACCTATTGTGAACAGAAACATAGAACAGCGCAGTACTCATGGTTTTGACCATACCACCGCTGTTCTATCATTATTTTATGTGTTGTTCTCACCGATCTTCAATTTCAATCACCACTACCCCACCCATCTCTTCGTTCAGCCCGTATTACCATTCCATCACCGCATCATCATCCATTACTTACCGCATCTCCTCATTCTACCCTCCATTTTTTTATTTTTTCTCAACCATCCCATTGCAATGAACCGTGCATTACCGAAATCTTACCTAGAAAAAACAATGAACTGCGATGTAGCGCTTTACATGCGCAAGAAAAAGAAATATTACGGCAAATTGCTCGGCATGGATGAGCACTTCAACGTGCTGTTGGATGATGCGTACGAGGAGAATGAGGAGAACGTACGGGTGGGGGTAGGACGGGCGCTCATCAACGGAGGATCGGTAGCTGCGATTGAATTTGTTGATGATCAATAGGACAGGTGCTGCTTGCGCAGTGTCAAGCCACCATGCATAAATGAACGGTACTGATCAAATCTAAAAACGGACCTGAGCGGCTATCCCGTGAATTAAAGGCAATTTGTTACTGATACTCTTCTTTGTACGCATCTTTCCACTCATTCCTGTGAGCAAACCATGATGATCATCTTTGCGTGTTAATTCACAGTAAAAGAGCAATAGCCGTATATTTATGTTTGGAATGGTTGTTCTTTGTCTTAGAACTGATTATCCTTCTCATCATCTCCTTTTTGCATTATCCTTCTCATTATTTCCTTTTTGCATTATAAAACCGGTAATCGCTATTAAACCCTTTCTACAACTTTTCCTTCCTGTTAATGCACAAAATTACAATTAATTGAAAACCGCTCATTTCATTCATGCACCTGTCACTCAACCCGTTTTAATGATAAACTTTAAAGCACCCCTCATGACATCAAACCATCCGCAAATGCTGAACATAAAGATAAACGGCGTATCAACCGAACATGCGTTGAATGTGCGACCGTTGGATCTGTGCACAAAGGGCGACGTGGTCTGCTCGGTCGATGGAAAACTGTGCGATATGATTGTTCCAATGGCAAAGGACTGTACGCTCAGATTTTACACTTTTAACGATAAGGCTGGCAGGGAGGTGTTCTGGCACTCATGTGCACATGTCCTGGGCGCAGCCATTCTCGAACATTGCCCGGATGCTAGGTTGGTCAGCGGTCCACCAACCGAGAACGGATTTTACTACGATGTGGAGGTTGACAGACCGTTCACCGAAAAGGATGTACGTGATATCGAGGAGCGTGCTCAACGCATAATCAAGGAGGGAAAATCTTTTAAGCGTATTTGGATGGAAAAGGACGCATTACTGCAGTTTTATGCGCACAACGAATTTAAGCGTTATTTTGTTGAACGAGCGACTAGTGCAAAGGATAGCTCTGCCGGTCAGAAAGACAGTGCCAATGATGATCACCCTATCGGTCATTCACATCATGCATCAATAAAGAAGGTTGCTGCTCGTGCTACGAGATGGGCACGTTCATCGATTTCTGCAACGGCCCGCACGTACACAACACGCGTGTCATAAAAACTTTTGAGATCACAAAAATGGGTGCGTCGTATTTCCTTGGCGACAAGGACAGGCCAAGCCTGCAGAGGCTTTACGGTGTTGCGTTTCCCTCAAAGGCACAACGCAATGAGTACTTCGCATTCATCGAAGAGGCTAAGAGGCGCAATCACAAAGTAATCGGTCAGGAGTACGATTTGTTCTGGTTCAGTGAACTGAGTCCTGGCAGCGCCTTTTTCATAGAAGGCGCGTTTATTTACAATGCATTGATGAATTTCATGCGCCGTGAGTATCGCAAGCGGAACTTCACGGAGGTGATCACACCGAACATGTTCATGACAAAGCTGTGGGAGACGAGCGGGCACCTCCAGAACTACAAGGATGACATGTTCGTGCTCACGGTCGATAAGAACGAATGGGCGCTCAAGCCGATGAACTGCCCCGGGCATTGCCTGCTATACGCACGCACAGCGCGCAGCTTCCGCGAGCTGCCGATCCGCATGGCCGACTTCGGCGTACTGCACCGCAACGAACTGAGCGGCACACTCAGCGGTCTCACACGTGTCAGGCGCTTCCAGCAGGATGATGCACATGTGTTCTGCTTGCTCGAACAGGTCGAGCAGGAGATTTTGCATAATCTTGAATTCATGCGCCATATCTATGCGGTTCTTGGTTTTGAGTTCGAGCTCACACTGAGCACGCGACCGGAGAAATATCTCGGTGAGAGGAAGGACTGGGATGTTGCGGAAGAGTACCTGAGACGGGCGCTGCACACATTTGGACGTGAGTACACGGTAAATGAGGGCGATGGTGCGTTCTATGGGCCAAAGATCGATGTAATTCTCCTTGATGCACTCAAGCGGCGGCACCAGTGCGCAACCATCCAGCTCGACTTTCAACTGCCAATCCGCTTTAACCTGCAATGCAAGACGAGTGACGGCACAGTAAGGCCTGTCATGATACACCGTGCCCTTCTCGGCAGTATTGAGCGCTTCATCGGTATACTCATTGAGAACTACGGCATAAAACTGCCGTTCTGGCTATCGCCCAGGCAGATTGCCGTTGTGCCCGTGAGCAACGCGCTGTCCGCGTATGCAAAGCACGTCCGTGACGTTCTTCTTGACTACGAAGTGCGGGTGTACGACAGCGAATTAACGCTCAGCAAAAGAATCAGGAATGCAGAAACGGATGGGTATGCCGTAGTTCTGGTGGTGGGCGAGAAGGAAAAGGAAGAGAATGCGGTGATGGTCAGAAAGTGCAACCTTAAAATGAACCTTGACATGTTCAGAGACAAAGTGGAGAAAGGAGTGAAAGAATATGTCAAGGATATTCATGCAGTGTTGCAGGACATTTAAGGTAAAATTCTCTTCTTATGTTTCCTTAGGACAGTGTTTATGCGTCTCCAATGCCATGTTTAGGCAGATTAACTGTGATTATGTGCATTACCACACTGATTTACAACATTAATTCTGCCTATCTATTCATATGCATAAAAAATTTGAGTAATGATTGCAGCTGTACAACTATCAATAAAGCATTTGTGCATTTACACGCACGTGTTAATCCGTTTTACTGCAAATATCTTCTTCGCTGCTGATTCCTTTCTTAATGCATGTTTACGCATAAAACGGCATTTCATGCCACCAAGTTCATCCGATTTATTTCCCCGTTCATGATCGGATTATGGTGCGCTGTTCATCGCGTTTTAAGATCGTCCTCATTTACAGCTTCTACTCATCATGCGAAGTGCACCATTTCCTTATGCTGCACAGTGTAGTCTTTTATGGTTCATGCTGTAAGGAATACGATTCGCACGATGTTTCTTAAACGAGCGAAAACTTAATTTACTACACTACCAGTCGGGCGTACCTTAGAATAGGTCTGTGCGTCTCTTCGTATCATACCTTATCGATGCGTTTACACACTCGTTCTTCCTTAAAATTTGCTCAATTATCGTACCGCAATCACAAAGTGCATCTATTCCCATAATTTGAAGGATCATCTGTAGAACGTACCGTTCTATGTGCAGTATGGGCCCTCGTTCGAGTGCATCACTTATTCTTCATCTCATTTTTTGAAACAGCTACGTTAAATATTACATTACTTGCTGTAACGTGTTGAACTGGCAGGTAAATTTACGGTTATTTGCAGTTCTTTCCCTGTTCTGTTTATTCATGCACAAAATAAAGAATAAATTTATTTACTGCCCTGCTGCTCATGCATCGATGTCCTTATCGTACAGCACCTGTGAAAAACGTACTTTAATAAAAATATTTTATGCATGGCACGGTGCATAAAATATTTTTAATTCAGTACCCCTAAAAATGAAAGTAAATGCGAAGGACCTTCGTTGCCTTACGCTGTCCGAGGTTGAAGAAAGATACAAGCAGGTAAAGACGGATCTCCTGCACATGCGTCAGAGAGAGCAGACGCAGACTGTCAAGCCGCACGAGATATACCAGGCGCACAGGAATGTTGCAGTGGTGATGACCATTTTGACAGATAAGAAAAAGGAGGAGGCTGTAGCAGCAGCGTTTGCTGCGAATGGCAAAGTGCCAAAGCAATTTTTGACTAGACTTACGAAGAAAAAGAGAATGGCACTGAGCAAGGAGCAGCTCAGAAAGTGCAGGAACGGCAAGTCAAGGGCGTACAAGGGTGGGTTGAGGCGAGTGCTGTTTGCTTATGCGCCGTAAGAAATAAAACGATTTTTAATTACTGTGGTTTGATGGTTTACGCGTATGGCCCGTACAAAAAATTTACGTGTATGAATTCATGTGCTCATGTTCCTGTAAGGGTGACACTTACGATGCCGCTTATCCGTGTTTGAAGTTGTTGACAAACAGACAAGAAGAAACACCTTCACTATTTTTAAGAATGAGCTTTTTGCTTTCAGCAGTACTTATCTCAGACCTGGCGGGGGCGCCTTTGTTTATGGCCCGTTTTATCGGTAAATTAAGTCCAATGATCGTTTGATACCACGCTTGGATGAACGATCAGTCTCATGAGAACAAAAATTATGGCACTGGTCTGGCATAGGGTAGATTGCCGGCAGCCCTTTCTTTATCTTTTATTTACCAGCGTACCCAACTCAAGGACAAGTACGTGATCATCACTAAATTTACGTCACAGATCAAGCATTAATGCAAATAAAATGTTAAAATTATCAACTCCTTATGCAAGGCTTGAATAACGCGTCCCTTCTGACCAACAAATAAGACTATCACACTAAATTATGGGTGCGATCAGAAAATAAGATTTAACGCATAAACAGATCGCATCAAATTATTAAAACACCAATGCATAAACACGCCACCCTTAGATCGGCTAAATATTTTTAATGATCCTCCGTTCATCTCTTCACCCCGACATTCATATTCTTGGTGACCTTGCCTCGCTTTTGGAACACGCTCTCAACTTTTTCTTTCTTGCCCACCACACCTTTCTTTACCTCCTCAACCGCCTTCTTAGGCAAACACGGGAAACCACGCACAATCTTGGGCGGTACAATCCTCTCTCTTTCCTTCTTATGCACAGCACCGCCTTTCTTGTGGAAGAACCGTGCACCGAGAGTCCACAGCACCTTCTGCGGCTTTACGTTACGCGTAAGGTACGAGCGCGCTTTTCCTGTGCCGGTGAGCTGTGCACGACCATCATGCTGTACTTTGTATGTGCCTTTTGCCTTTAGAACGTCTCGGCCTGAGAACACGCATTTTCCTTGTGTCACCATTCTGGAGGGGCGTAGCAAATTTTTTTGTTTTAGTTTCGCGCGAACGAATAAGAACGATGCGTGTGGACCGTGCCAAGGAAAGGGCATGAATCGTTTTGTATGCGCATAAAAAATAATTATGAATACAATCAATAAGTGCATAAACAAGAGAAGAATATCTCGATGATGAGCAGCCTGCGTGGTAGAAGAATGGTATTGCATGGAATGAGCAGCAATACTTGGTACTGATGAACAGCTACTCACCAAGGAAGTGCCTGCAACGTTCACCAAATCATACTTATGTGATGAAACAAAGAGAACGACAGCAAATCACTCATGGCAATAGACACATGAAGACCACCACGTGTTTTAGAGCGACATGTTCAATTTAACATGTGTGCAACATAATCAGGGACAGTGAACCTTAGGCATAGATATGTAGGATTGGTTGCAAGCACGCACAACGGTTGATTTTTAAGTACAAGGAACGATCAACACAGCGTGTCTTACCAACTGATGGTGCGTCCTGCTCTGCTGTACATTTCAACCGACACCATTACTTACACAGATCAGCAATCCCATGGTAACACAAATCAGCAAGCACTTCCTGACCGATACAAGGAATGTTCCTAACTGTGAACGCGGTACACCGAACAAAAGCATTTTATGTGCTGATACCACGCTGTGCACGCATCACAGACCTCGGTTTAGCGCATAACCTCCCGATAGTGGATCTGTAACCATAATGTACTCAACACAACCTGTTCAACCGAATCAATCAGGGCACGTTCCCCATAAAATTGCACCATGCAGCGGTAACACATGCTATAAACAAACGTACTTTTAATTAACTCGTATACGAGAGGATGGCATGCACAGCAAAATGTTCACCTATCGGGAAATCCTTGCTCAGGATACGCGCGTAGTTGAGATCCAATGCCGTTGCAGGGTCTCGCAAGATGATGAAATCACGCTGTATCCCATCGGAGTGTTCCATCTTGCCGTGAACGGTCGTCATGTCAAGTTCCTTGTTATTCGGATCAAGGTCTACGAGGTTCTTGTACCCGGATCGTAGGAGCTTCTGCATCTCTGGTGAGAGTGATCCTATGCCACCTGCAAAGAAAACGGGCTCGTTGCTGATCGACGGATCGCCTTTTATGTCCGATATGATGTTGGCGAGCTGCCCTTCAACCATCCCCTTGAACGTGCTGTACAGATCGATGTTTACGACCGTGAACTTCTTGCCTTTGCGTGTGTCAGAGAGCACGACATACGACCCATACACTTGCCCTTTTTGGTTCCTGAAATACCCGGTCTTGATCGGCCGCAACACTCGCTTGTCAATGAATATGGGCAGATAGTAATGTGCAGATGAGAGCGGGTCCTTCGTGAACACATCATCGGTAAGCATCCCATAGTGTTCGTTGATAAGCTTCCTGATGCGTGCTAATAGCGGTTCACGCACACCCTGCAGCACCATCACCGTAGGATGCGCGTGATCAAGAATTTCATGCATGTACGATGCTATCTCCTGGTTCATAGGTACTGTACTTATTTCAGACGCAAGATTAAGCGTGAACAGGCTCAGGTCGCCGTATCTGTCTGGCGGCGGTGTGGTAATCTCATGGTTCTCGTAATGTCCGCCCATCTCCAGCACGTTCTGCAGGTTTTTGAGCGAGGTCTTTGAGTCGAGCAGGGGGTCCCATTTTGTTTCGTAGTACAGACCAGTACGTGGCAGCTTGTTGGGCCGGTTAAGACCGTTCGGTACGGCGTTGGTAGTGTCAACGGCCTGCCGGCAGCTTATGAGAAGTAGAACGGGTAATATTTTGTACATTGCATGTTTCGTACATTCTTTATTTTAATGGTTAAGATGAAACGATCTGTCGCGGCGTGAGACAAGGTGGCCGAGCGGTCTATGGCGCTGCCTTCAGGTGGCAGTCTTCTTCGGAAGGCGCGGGTTCAAATCCCGTCCTTGTCAACGCTTTTACTATTTTAATACGGGGTCTCCTGATATGTATTGCAGCGTGGATGCACGGCATCTGTTGCTCAATCTGGAACAATTTGTTGCACAATTCTCCGTTCATTGCGGCTCATTTTTATTAATCTTGCACTGCCGGCCACGTGGCACAAACGGTGTACTCCATTGTGTGTGGTGCACCAGTGTTGTATACGTTGTCGCAGATCAATGCCTGTCATTGTATCATCGTAGTACGTAGGACGCACTCTGTGTGATGTCATACCTTTTTATGTTACATCCGTAAATCCAGCAGCAGCTCCTTATTGCATCATCTATGTACATACACACTGACTTGTCCCGTTCCACCATGCAAAACGCGCCATAACAACCACTGCACGCGATGCTCAACCACAATACTTCCCTCATATATTTGTTGTCAAATTTTAGTACGTGCACGGCAACTAAGACATAACCCAGATAAAACATACATTTCGAGCTGCTCATCCATTTTTGAAATATTTTCGCTCTTTCTATGCCACCTGCACACAAATACTTTCCTGGTGTTTTTCATCCATCAGTTCAATTATTCCTTCTATTCCGGTGATTACCATTCATCAAAACCTATTCGTGTTAACCGATCGCAATTGTGCCATTTAACCTGTTCGCTAAGTGCAATATGAGGAACATTACCAGCTTAGCAATTGTTGAGATGGACACTCCATCCCTACAGCCGTCATTATGATGAAACAGTGGCGTGCTGATATGAAGTGAAACAAATTTCGTTTTCCAAGGTATCATAACTAGAATGAGGAATACGACTAGCATGCGATGAGGACCATAATTAAAATTATAGACAGAACGATAGAATAATACCGATTATATCACCCAAGAAGGTATTAGCACATCACAGTGCATATCAGCGGATCTTTCTTTGCGTACCGCAATAGAATACATATTACGTTCTTGATTGCACTCCATTTGTAGTTCCTGGTTGCGAAAAGATAAACTTTAATTCCCAACATGAGGTGTTGTATTCATCGTATCGGTGCATTCTTTGTACGTCTTTTATCTTTGCTCTTTATTTTGCACGACCTACCACGGGCAATGAAAGGTTCTACCGCTCACTCCATTTGGTCCTCATGAATTACAAATCGTTCCTCTGTGGAACAAAAGCATTTTGCGAATCATTGCATGTACTCCCTCTTCGTGTTTACACCATGAATGTAATATTCATTTGTATTTTTCGTGTTGGTTATTGTGACTCATAGCACGTATCAAATACGGAGCAAGGCTCTTTTTTAATTTGACTTACTGTCGCTCTTCAGAATGTAAACATTCATCGTGTATGATGGAAATGCGGTGCACTGCGAAATACTACAAAGTTTTTCGGTCCATACCGTGATTTTAGAACGAATCGTACGTGCTCGTTTGGTACAACTATGTATTTCACGTAAAAAAGAATTTGTTTGGACTTATCCGTACCATTCACAAAACTAACAAACGAAAACGTACATCTGGACAACCGCGCGATCGCAATAGCATCTTATAAAATTAAAAGTCATCTTTAAACATTTATATTGCCAGTATCATCGGAAATCGTGTTTTGAAAATTTACGGACGATTTTGAATTAATACTTTTTTAGAAGATTCCTTTTGTGGCATATGGAATACAAAATAGAAAATTGGTGTTTTGTTCATTTGCATGTATTACGTTGTGTAAAACTTGTTGAAATGGCTGATTATCAAACCTTCTTTACAGCACAATTTTGATCATGCAGCTGTGTTATCAGGGTAAAAAATTTAAAAGAGTGGATCAGAATATGTTTTGCTTGTGGAGCAGAGCACGGAGACGCAATCATGTTTAAAATGTAAGTTGAGATGTACTGTATGAATTGGTGATAGTTATGATTTACGGGAAATGACTTGGTTCTCATAAGGTAACATAAACTGCGCTTGGTTAGAATGCGAATCGAATAGAAAGCGCTAGTTAAAAAAAGGATTAGGTTAGAGATAATGATTGGATAAAGGATAAGAATGGAGTGAAGCGTATCGTTTTGCTATGAATAATAAAATAGAGAGTAATGATCAAACACGAAATAACTGTAGGTCAAATAGGGAATAATGACAGATATTGATGAAATGTAAATTAAATCATGAATGTTGATTGAGTAAGTACTATAAAGCAGAACATATTTGTTTTTTGCAAATGTGTAAAAACGAGGAAAGAAAGCAAATATAAACTGTATTAAATTAAGAATTTGGTATAAACTGGTTGTTGGCCAAACATATGTGAATACTAACCGATTTAAATTATGACTTGTGATGAACGAGTAGTGATGGGCTAATAATAATCAATTTAGTGGCGGCATAGACAACAGTAGACCAATAAAAACACATACTTCCCAATATTCAGTGGACTTGCACATAAACACAAATTAAATTATCTTGGAAAACAGTTCTAAATAATGTGGCAGACATGTGTTTGATCAAGCATTAGCAATATGGACATTCCTTATTGGTGGACTGTGCTGTGGCTGTTTGGATGTATCGGTTTGGTATAAATAAACAAATAACGCGCTTCATCAACTGTTTAATGCTGGTATGCTGAACATCGCTTGTATGATCGCGGATGCACATGCTTATTCCTTTTTTGGGTCGCTAACACCGTGTGCTGCATATGTGCACTTATCCAATTATGTATACGTATTCAAATTGCATGTTTCCATTCGCATAATTATACAAAACAAGACAATTCGAATGTTTCAATCGGCCAAATTATGAGACGTTTGACGTATACAGATATGACATTTGGCATCAACATGATTGAAAACATACCCCAATGCACTTTCTTCCTCGGTTCTGTATTAGCACGTCCTATAAATATTCTAATTGTGTTTAACACACTCGTAAAGCGCATAAAATTTTTATTTGTCCTAATATGGCATCATTAATACACTAAGCATATAAAGAAATGATTTGTTTATTTACCCTGCAACACACAGAATACCAATCAAACAGCTTTATTGTACACACATGTAAACCTTGGGGTTGCAACAGTGCACACACGACGCAAAATTCCCGCGGAATGGGCCATTTTAACACGTCAAAAATGTTGTTGAGACGTCACCGATAACCATAGAGATTAAGCGGTTCAAATCAAGTGCCGACTATAAAAATAAGAAAATGAAAGAGCCGCAAATGATTACAGATAGATAAACGAGTTGGTATGGTTGCTTGAAAAACCAACTTAATCAAAAAAACCATTCAAAAAAGGAAGGTTGTATGAGAATTCCATAACTACCATAAGAAACACATATAGAAATACCAACAATAGAGGACATACAGCAAAACAACATTGCATAGTTATGCTGCTTAAACGTATAGAATAGAAATTTTTTACAGCAAGAACTCATAATCATACCCACATAAATTTATACCACTCGGGTTGTTTTGAATAACTAATAAAATTTGACCCTCATGAAGATTAGGAATTATAGATGTCTAGAAATTCGACAGTTATTGCTCGATAATGATCAGCCGTGGATACTGTCGGCGAGAACAGAATGTCTTGTATTGCTGTAAAGTAGTCAGCAACTGTTCAAGAACATTGTTGTTTCGTTTCGATATATTTTTCAGCACAAAACCGCACACATTGTGCTGGTTCATTGCCAATTTGATATTTGTTTCGACATTATATGGTAATTATTATGAAATTACTATTTTTCTTTTTTTCTAAAAAATTATTTTTTTCGAAAATTAAATTATTTACAAGAACGTATCATTCGATATGCAAGACACCGTCATAGCGGTTCTGCCAATGCAATTCATTTCGAAAACAGCATTAGGAACGAACATGCAAACAATTTGTTTCATTGTTTCTTAATACTATAATGTTACTTCAAACGGGCCTGGAATGTTATTTTAAATTCCAAACCAGCCGAAATTTGCATAACAAACCCGTGTTAGCACCATAATCTCTGGTGCTAAACAGGATCATTGCAGAAAAAAGTTATTTGTCTCGAAAATCATTTCTTTTCAGCGATAAAAAATTTTTAAAAGCATTTCATCGGCTGTCAACACATCCGTAAAACAGTGCTTTCGAATCGACAATGAGGCGTCCAAAAAAGTTTGGAATCGCCAATTCGGTACAATTTATATTATTTCCGACATAATATTCAAAATGACGGATTTCGAAACCAATGGTCTTCTTCATGGCGGAATCTCGAATTAATGATCGTCATTCGAAAAAATCAATGTATCGAAAACAAAAAATGCAAAAATGGCAACTATGCCAAAATTACCATTGCATTCTTGTATATTTATGTTTCGAGACGAATCTGTCACTTTGTGACCCGAAATGTATAATGCAGCACTGTGTGTTGACATTCGACGTTCTTGTCTACCATTATAATCGGATGTGCGATTGCAGATCATTTCGTGGATGCAATCAGTGATTTTCTTGGCAACGGGGTATAAATATTTAGATTTGTACCTTAAAATTTTGTTGCTCAGAAAAATTCACCTGCTAACTAAATTCAACCGGACATTGTTACTATTGTAGGTTTACTACTTGCGAATCATAGGCCTGATGTTCAACTGTTTTTGACATTGTTCTACTTTACCTCTAATTATTTTCGAAGGAATGTACATTATTATATTTATTTTTTCATAAAAAGGAAAAAAAGTCGATAGTGGCATTTCTATCAAAAAAGACTTGTCCGATCCAATTTATTCGTATCGACATGTCACAGCTACTTATGGTGATAGACAGCGAAATAAGAACATTTTATGCCATCCATAAATGTGTCATTATATTTTTTTAATATTTCGTATTTAGAAGGCGGTGCATTAATTATGTCCATTTTTTCATATTTTTGTTTTTTTGATGCGCATTTCTTTATGTCTGTCATTTTAATGGAAGGCATTTGATGCATCATTTAGTAAATCGCATTCTATTTCCATCATGTACGTCTTAGCCGTCATTTTCTTTTTTTTCACGAATGTCTACAACTTTCATCAATATGACTTCTCTGTGATCATATAATTTTCATTCTTTAATTTTTTTTATTTTTGAATTTAATTTATCACGATTTCCATTTTTTAATTTTTATTTGTTGCAGTTGCCATTTTTCTTAAGATATATTTGGCATAATTTTCTTCTTTTACACTTCTCATTCTTTTTGCATTCCTTTATTGCTGTTACATTTTTCTTGCCTCTTATTACATTTATCTGCTTTTTTGTGGCCATCTCAATATTTTTTAATGTGCATGCCTTCATATTTCGGCTCGCTGCTCACTTTATGTTGAATGGTATACCAAGGCATCAGCTCTCATCTGTCATTTCTGCTTGCTCTTTGCCATTACAGAACTGCAAAGGACAGCAATTAAATCGACGAGTACCACTCTGCATACAACAATACATTTGCATATTTTTGTGTGCCGCCACTTTCTGATAGCGTTTGACATCCTATCAATCGCTAGTTTGCAATCAAAATGTAAATTAAAACAACAATTAACATTTTATTTACGTATTGCATAAAAAGCGTATCACAGGCCGACAAACGCTTACAACAGCGTGAAAGCGTTAGCGGAGCGAAGCAAAAAAGGGTGCTTTCCAAAGCAAATGCTCATTTACTAATTTAAACTAATTAACCGAATTGATTTTGAAACCTCACTTGCTTACTTCTTTCGGAACATTGGATGGTTTTGATTGACAGGTTGTTCTAGAGGAATTAGCGAGTAAATGATTGAGCACAGAGCCGGGTTCGCCTATTTGTTCAGGTTTTCCAACGCACAAATTTGTTTCACTGATTTGATCGTGTTCGTCGCAATCAAAACCGTGTTTTGTCCTGAAGTGTGATCTGATAGGGTTCATGCACGTTTTGCATGTCAGTAATACCGTGATTTGCATTTGTTTCGTGCACGTATTTGCTTTCTCATCGTAATTTCAAATTATTCCCTTTACGCCACTGATATCAAAAAAGGTTTATACGCGTCATACACGTTTTAGGGCATAATGTTGATCTACTGATGTGTATTAAAATCGTTGAACACGCTTTGTTTCGTTTTACACTTGATAGTTTTGTTTTGACTTCTGCGTGTTCCACAACAGAGATAGTGTCACATGATGTGGTTTTCTGTGTTAAAAAACTATTTAGGAGCCATATCCTTACCTCATACCAAAATTTGTTCCTTGCGCTGTTGTTATTCTCGTTACATATTCTTGTTCTTTATATTTTCATTCATTTATCACTATTGGGTCGTCCACGTTCATTCCATATACGTTCCTTGTTTTTTATCTATTTATGTCATTTGTTTTCTTCACCATTCTTATGTCATTTGTTTCTTCAACTATTTTCTTCACCATTCTCTTCATTAATCGTTACTACGCATCTCCCACACCACTCCCACCGCTCACATCTACAATGCACCATAGAAACATAAAAAATAAAGATTCATGCGTTGCCGCTCTCAATATGCAACATTTATACAAATCCAAAACGCATTATTAAATATTTTATTTATAAACATTTTATCTCTGAATTCTTGAGTTATCCTTGTTGCGGTCCAACAGCCCCGTTGCTATCTCTGCAAGTGCGTGCAGTCCCTTGCAGTCCACAGCATTGTCATCGTAATACTGTCTCTCCAGCCCATGTCTACTCTTCGTTTTCTGTCTCTGATTCTGGAACCAGATTTGGATTGTCCGGGGCCTCATTCCCAGGATTTTGGCCAGCTCCTCACGAGCCTCAGTCGACGGAAACATATTTCTGTTGAAATAGTTCTTCAGGACTTTCGCCTGACTGTTAGTCATCACAGTCCTGTTCCGTTTTTTAACTTCGTACGATTTTTCCAAATTTTCCTCGTCCATATTTTATCAGGCGTTTTTTTCTAATATTTATAAAATTAATTTGTCAAATCAATCTCATTGTTTCGCAAGTTGAAAAATATGGCAAATTTTCTGATTTTTCATTTGCTCGATTAAGAAATATTGATTTATGAAAGAAAGTTAGCCGCTAACAGCGGTGCATAAAAACGGCGTAGCACCAATAAAACGCGCTGTCAAACATGATTACGATATATGTGCATGGCACACGCGCTGAGAGGAGTTAATTAAAAGATTAATTTAGTAAATTAAATTTTTGGTGATGGTGATGTGCATGTGTATGGATCAGCGGCTGATCATGCCAGCAATGTGCACCTTCCCTTCAAATGTGCTACGTAAGAGGAAAAGGGATCACAACATTTTGTATTACATGAAAACGTTTCGGTGCTGATTCCTGCAAGTGTCTTATCTGTTTCGGCGCGATACGCAAGTTTTATGCGTATTAATTTATTTTTCATGTGATGTCAAATAAGCTTTTATTTTTATTGCCCTTTATTTCTGGTCGTTTCCCCGACACTGATTTGCCCTTATTTATCGTTTATTTCTTCCTAACAATTTTTGCTATCATTAGGAAATATGCGTAAAACTGGAAATAAAGAACCTGCCACCTGTGCGGGCCTTAATAACAAACTGCGAGAACGTACCGATTTATGCACCTCGTACACAGTCATGGCCTTTTCTGGCACAGAAATAATCAATTGGGAAAAAATCGAGAATTCGCGGAAGTATGCAGTGCTTTTAAGGACCGCGGTTTGTGAAGAAACGTGTGTTGCAGGCCATTTGGTGCTGTGAAGTGGTCTGGCAAATACTGCGGTACTGCCCGTGGACGTAATTCAAAGGAGTTCTGAGCACAGCACTGCTCACGCAACTAATTTGGAGAAACATTTTCTAATGCTGCATCCGTAAAGGTAATTTATAAAAACTCGTAAATTACCGAATCATAGGCGTGCCGGTGCATGCTTGCTCGTCAGCAATCAATAAATGTATTATCTGTCTACTTTTTTTCCTGTTCCTCCGTGTTTCAACACCAATTTACCTGTGTATGCCGCGTTCATACCAATCACTAGAATGACACCTGATACGTTTTTTATCGTTGCATGATTACGTATCATGCTCGTATGTCCGAAATAAATTTAATTAAGCTTTGAGCTGCAGCCACGCCATCGCAGCGTAGCATATTTTCTTTTTGTTTTCTAATTACTGTAAAATGATCAAAAATATTTTTTTGGAATGTAATAAATTAGGATTTGTGACATTTTATTATTTTGGAAGGAGTTCTTTATGCAAGAAGTAAATCGATTTGGTTGTGGACAGGGAGGTTCATGAACACCAGCAAGGAACAGGTTTGATTGCAAACGGAGAGATTATCAAAGAGTAACGGGGAACAGGTTTGATTATAAACAGGGAGACCATCAAATATTAGCAAGGAATAGGTCTGATTATTAGCTAGGAGATTGTCAAAGAGTAGCACGCATAAACAGGAATACCTCCAAGGATTGGTTACGAACAAACCTGCCCGTGAACAAAAGGCGTGCGAATAACAAAAACAGAGTGTGTTTGATGAGGAGTGTTGCCATGCAACGTGATGCATGCGCATAAAAAAGCACCGTAATCGATGCAACTGCCGTGTAGAGTCCTACAAAACCATCAAAGTGCAATATTTTGTGACAGCATCCTGTCACACGATCAAAACACGATTGCTTTGCATGTTACCTACCATAAACAGCTTATCCCTGATGAACTCAGTACACAGCGCACAATTAACGCAACACTTTCACGTATTTATGCGCATCATATTACTTTTGTACCACGATTTGCCCAACAACTGTTCCGTGCTCCACATCTTTTCCGCTATTTTTACGCCAATAACATAAAAATGATAGCCTCAGCCTTACGCACCCCGCTGTTTGTGCACACCCCAGCTGCGATGGAACAGCGGAGTGCCCGTAGTGCTCTGCATAAATACCACGCTCATGTTTGTGCATATTACCTTATTTTCTGTTCAGATCCATTAATGCAAAATAGAGAGCAGCAATGCTTTTTTAGAAATATTAAAAATAAAGCGCACCTCGAACGATTTTGATTATGTGTGCGCACTTCGTGTGCACGAGGATAGCCTATCATTTCTGATTCGCCTTGTGAATCAGAAACGGGTTGTTTGTTGATCTGTCATCATCCTTGTTTATGGCTCAGGTATGAGATACATCAGTGCGTGTGCCAAGTGCATCTGCAACCATGTGCCTGTCAGGTGTATCGCGGCCAAAGCGATCGGTGAACGATGCGCCAAACGGGATAGGCCTGCAAATGAGCGATCTTCGAAGATACGAAAGGTTCGTAAAATTTAAAAAATTTTTAATGCATAAACGGATAAAAATAAATAAAAACGGAATTAGTCAAAGGAGTAAAACAAAACGAAGCGTAAATATGAAGAGCACAACAATGCGTTATTTTGCCGGTTAAGAAGCGTGTTCCGTGTTTAAAAGCATTCAAAATGTTGTTATGTATGATTTGGTGCTGATAACGCTCTTACGCGGCTTTCGCCGTCCTGTGGAGCAATTGATTTAGTATTGCTGTAAAAATTGGGTGTAGCTCATCAATTTTGTTCTTACGGGTAAGAACTGCGCTATTCCACAAATTAATGTGCTCTGCGGTGTCTTACGCCCCAATTGTCCAGGCAGTGGATTACATTGCTCTGTAAGTTAACGCATGCTCCATGGTATTTTTCCTTCCGTGCCAACAAAACACTCGCAACACAAATTCAAATCATCATGCAGTGCATCTCCCATTATTCATACGTCTGCTGCAATCAGCATGAACCTCCCATCGCAACAGTTCCACGATCACTCACACGTCCATAAAAAGAATGCCACCAACAAAATGATCGCCACACCACACCCACCAGCAAAACTACATCAACCAGCTTAGCACCACTGCAAAATATGCGTGGCACACCACGAAGAACAGCAATGAGCATAAACCAACGAGTATCATTCTAAAATAGGCACAGCTACATGAACTAAACATTCGCACGATTGCACATTTCATGTGCATGTATACCCCGTACTCTCTCCCGTGGTACGGGCAGCCGCATTCAATTTTATTTTTTCTTGGCGCGTTGTATTTTACTATGCATCCATTTATGTTAAGTTTCCCAATTATGCATAAATGGTAGAAAATGTGAAAATAAGAAATATGGGTCTCGCAGCACCAACCCACGCATAAACCACGAATATTTAAATTGCTGTGCACTTTATGCGATGCGGTGATCCATACGGCATAGTTAGTATGTTATGCCGTGGTATTGCCCGTGCTGTGCTGCCGTAATGTAGGAATGCAGCGTAGTTGATCGTTTAAGGTGAGAAATGTGCCTTAAATGGCAGTGAAGAAGAGCGAACCACCATTTCTATGCAGTGGTGATATTTCACAAAATTAGAATAATATTTCCTTTATGGACAGGAAGCATAATTTAGTATTTTACGTTCAGGATAGCATCACCATATTACCATGCATGGTACGGTGTTGTGCTGATCTACACCAATCACACGCTCTTTTATGGCCTGCCAGTGTGCCCTACGTACCAATATGAACAGCATTGCTAATTGCACATAAATAGAGGTGTGCAGCGAAATGATTAGCAATATTGTTTGTTTATTGCATAAACAAATAAGATATTACATAATAAGACTCTTCTAGATTTGGAGATGCCTATTTAAAGGATACCTTTGCATTTACTGATCGTGGTGCGTACACGTGAGAGAAGAGCTGTCACGAAATAATACTGAGCATGAACAGAACGATCTGTAGTTGCTATGTATAACATGAAGAACAGTAAGGCACGAACAAATTGCTGCACAACAAAATATAAAGAGCATGTTCATGCATTAATGGTAAGAATATGAACCATAAGAACGCATTAGCACTTAGCGTCTTTCATCACCGTTAACTCGTCCTCATCATTTTTATTTTCGCATAAAAAATACGCCCACCCCAAAAATGCCTAAACTAACCAAAATATTCCCCAATTTATCAAAAGCACGTGCTCTGCTGAATCAGCATGCATATGACCAGGCAATAGAACTTTATTCGGAGATATTGCTCAAGGAAGGTGGAGATGAAGAACGGGATGGTGCGGATGAGAAGAATGATGTGGAGGAGAAGAATGATGTGGAGGAGAAGAATGATGTGGAGGAGAAGAATGATGTGGAGGAGAAGAATGACGTAGAGGAGAAGAATGATGTGGAGGAGAAGAATGATGTGGAGGAGAAGAATGATGTGGAGAAGAAGAATGATGTGGAGGAGAAAAATGATGTGGAGGAGAAAAATGGTACAAAGAGCGAAGGAATAAAGAAAGAAAATAAAACAGCAGAACAACAATCAATGCATAAACGCATAAGCGAGAATAAAGAAAGTGCAGAGCAAGCAGGTAAAATAGGGTACAAAGCGTACATTTACATAGAATACGCACATTGCTTGATAAAAAATGTGAGCAATTATTTTCAGACCCTGCTGCACTGCCTTAACACGCACCAGCCATCAATTTTACAGAAGAAAGAGATTTACGAGGAAGACCTTGAAATAGCGTGGAACGTGCTTGAACAGGCCCGTCTTTACTTCAAAATGAAGAACGATACGCATCAACTGAAGAAGGTTTATTTTCTGCAGGGAGAGATTTATCTGCTGAACGATCAGTACGCTGATGCGATCAAGGAGTTCAACAACTGCCTGCTCGTGAACGACGAGCAGTTCGTGAACGATGGCACGGTGTACAAACGGATCGGAGATAGTTACTTTTTCCTTGGCGATAAGGAAATGGCAACCACCTTCTACGAGAAAGGGATGGTCTACTACAACGGGGTAGGGAATGCCAAGAAGAGTAGGGAAGTTGAAGTTTTGTTGATGAGTGCTAGGGAGAAGGAGGAGATGGGCTTTAGAGATGACGGGGAACAAAAAGAGAGCAAGGAGGTCGAGAATGAAAAAGTGGTTGTTGATGTCACCCATCTGATAAGGAAGAAGAAGTTGTGATAGGTGGTAAATAAATTATGTTAGGGGCTTGTGTTGAAGGGAGGTGCTGTAATGCTATTAAATTGGTAGAACCGTAGCGCTGTTCATCTTTGTACTGTACAACAAATCTTTATTATTCTAAGAACACGTCTCAATTCCTACATCGTTATTAATGTACAGCATTAATTACCTGTCATACCCTTATCAACCATAATTGCTTTTTTACCATACCTGTAGCGCTATTTATTACCATTTGCTGGTACATTGTACTTGTGCAGCGTTACTCCACCTCCTTACCATTGCCTTATCATCTCCTTACCATTGCGCTACTACCGCACTAATACTACGTAACCACCGGTCAGATTCATTCCATTTCCTTGAAAGTACTCAGTTCAAACACACCCTTTACTTCATGCACACCCTCATGAACTCAAGCGCAACCTCATCGCAGTACGATTCCCACGTATTATCAAGAAACCCTACATGTCCCCCATTCATACACCACACCGCCACATTATCATTGCTCAACGCATCCACATCAACGGTATGCCTGGCAACCAGCAAATCATCATTCGCTACCACAAAAAGTGTGGGCACCCGCACGTACTTAACGAACCGCTCACACGAATTAAAACTGAAATACTCCTCGATGTCAGCGTATCCGTGTATTCTTGCCATTTTGCTGTTGTACTGCTCAAGCGTGGAGCATTCTTTGAACTGCCTGATTTTGTTCTTTTTAAGGAATGCGTGGCATTTATGGTTAATGATGGGTTGCATGAGTGATCGTGGAAAGGTTGCCATCGATTTGTAAATTTTGGAGAAGTTGAATGGTACGCACACTCCCACACAGCACAGTATCTTTGTGTGTAGGAGAGCATTGTACACTTTGCTTTTCATGTGTTTCCTGTCATGCTGGTAGAATGGGCTGTTTAGGATTGTGGCTGGCCGGTCACCGGAGGGTGTACCTGCCATTGTATTGTCTGAACTAGCCGTATTAAATGCACCGTTACTTTTCAACCCTGCTTCGCCACTTACATCGTAGCTATACGGTTTGTTAGTGCTCATCACACCATCCACCATTTGTACGATATGACCGGTCTTAGGTTCATTCGCATGAACATCATCAGTTCGTACGTGAACGTTAGTTTGTTTCTCACTGTTGCTAGGGCTTTCTTCCTTGATCACCGCTTGGTTATTTACCTCGTTGATCCTTGTTCTTTCATCACTGCGATTGTTATTACGTGTTTCATTACTCCTGTCCACCTCTGCAGCCTTATTGAGTGCTACAAAATCAATAGGTCCTTTTGCACGCATGTCCTTGCTCACCGTACCGCCCTGCTCACCATTTTTCATTATCTCATACATTCCAATCATCCCCATAACCTTAGCCATACGTGCTCCTCCCAACGAGTACCCCACAACGCATATTTCCCATGTTTTTCCCATCCATACAAGCACATCCTCTATGTCCTCAACCGATCCAACATGACAGATCGTACTCGTCCTTCTTCTTATGCCCCGCCAGTTCAGGCACACCACAGGCATAGCCGCCTGATACGCCAAATTACGCACATATTTTGATCCAGAACTGCCATTTAACCCGTGTATGATGAGCATGGCGGTGCGCGAATGCATGCTACGGTGGAGCATTTCAAATGTGATCCACTTGCCGTCACGTGCTTTTATCTCGTACAGCCGTTTCTTCTTGTGTTTTCTGCGAAAACGTGCGCAATGCATTTGCAAAACGCTGCTGTAAAACGGAAACAATGGGAATATCCATCGCCTGCATCTCATCGCATCAATACGTGCACGCATTTCACGTGTACAGCTGATGCTCACCCTATGAATGGTAGAACAGTAGTGCACCACGATACAGAGCAGTACCATCGTGCCAAAGATGTAGTAAATAGCACTGATGAACAGTACTATCCTTAGAAGTGCACTTATGTATTTGCTGCGGTCGTACACCACGTTAAGGATGGAAAGTACAGCGTGTTTGATGCGTGTGCGCATGTTTATCTGTACTTTCTTCCTTTTAAGTCTTCTTGGTACCATTGGAGGGCATCGTACTGAATGCAAAATTATGATGAGTGATTAATGAATTGCAGAGGACTTGTCATGGTTGATGGGGTGTTTGCCGTGGGATATGAGGGGGTGTTTGCAGTGGGAGATGACGGGGTGTTTGCCGTGAGAGATGACGGGGTGTTTGCCGTGTATTAGGAACGGTTTATGAAAGCGTACGGTAAAACATGTTCCTTAATCAAACGTACTTTCTGCTACATGAGGACACCCTCACACTTCCATAGGTGCTCTCATGTTCTCCTTACCTGTTAAATTAATCTTTAGCAGTATCAGCCTGGCCTATAGCTCATTTCAAGTTTCTGCCAATGAACAGCACCTTGCAATTAATTATCTGTCCAAATCGATGCGTAACCAATGGTTCAATCCGTGCTGGTGCAAGGAATGCGGTCTAATGAAACGTAAACTGCTTTCAATCATGTAACAACGGTTAAATTTCTTACTCCTCATGTCAAAATTAAATAAAGCAGCCTTGTTAAGCCGCAATTAACGTCTTTCTCCTCAATTTGTGTTTCACATGTACCTTCTACCGTACTAATTAATGATCACACATTTCCTGTACATTGATTTATCAATCAAACGAACGAAAAAACGATGACCTAACGGGATAGGTGGATGAAGACTGCCAATCCAGTTGTAAATCACTATGGACTAAGTCCTAGATACTGATACTTACATTCTTAAAGGAGGGCTACGCTGGATACTAACGCAAAGCATCATGGCAGGCAACATTTCCGCTGGTTGAGAGTGAAAATAGGAAGGCAACTGAAACAAACGTGGTAATGCAGCAAAGATTATCGTATCTCTGCGGCAGCGTACAGCAAAGAAGATCGGTAAGATGTGTGTGATTGTGTTTATGCATTATATTTTTGTATTTATACTTTTTCTATTTATGCAATATGCTTATTCTTAATTTAGTTTGCCCGTCTTCAATTTAATTTAATAAAAAATAAATTGATGCTCTCCTCATCAATTAAATATAAAAATTATTGATTCAATAAAATGGCTAATTTAGTACTTTCTCATTTATGCACTCTACTCATATTTAAAATACAAACCTGCGAAAAAGTGAGTGTCTGCTACTACCGCTCACTTCTGCGCAGTACGATCAAGGTTTACTTCACCAAGTCTGTATCCGATTTGAAAGCGATGCGGAATAGAGAATTGCTACCAGACTGGTATTTAACTTTAAAATTAGCACTACAGCACAATACCACCGTACCTCTCAGTGCTACGGTTGGTAAATGCTGCACCATTTTTAATGCCAAGGCAAAAGAACGATTTATTTGAGATGCTTCAAAATATGAGGTGGCCCATCCACCACAACAGGTACATCAACACAAAAACAGCGCATTAATATCTTTAAATACAAAACAGGGCATAAAACGAATCACCCCATCGCATCAAACATCCCCAGCACGTCGTAAAGATCATCATCAATCAAGAAGCACTTCCATCCCATCATCTTGCCCATCTCAACATTCGCCATTTTATCATCAAAAAAGTACGTGTCACCTTTGCAGTACGTATTGACGAATTCAAATGCTTTCCTTTCCGGTTTGCACAGCATGCGCGGTTGAAAGTACGTTGTGTAGAATATTTTTGATATGTGGGGGATGTTGAGGTATTTTAGGACACGTCTGGTGTATTTCTCTTGAGAATTGGTGAAGATAAAGAATTGCGTACTGTTGGTTGTTGTACCAGCATTTCTATTCTTGTCACGGTCATCTTCACGGTCATCGCTGCAGTCACTGCCAATACGCATTATCCTCCCATTCAATCGCTCATCCATTTTCAGCATTTCTCCAAAATCAAAATCTACAAGCTCATCATACCAGCACTCATCCATCCCATACTCCTTTATCATCCCCTTGTACCCCAGCCCGTACTTCACACTCATCTCAACGTACATCTGCTTAGCCTGCTCATACGAGCACGCATTCCTTTTCATGAGCGATTTGTACAGACGGTGCCGTATTTTCATCTGCAGAGATGACGATTTGGGGTACAGTGTCTGGTCAAGATCGAATATTAGCGTTCTGTACGATACGGACGGGTTGCCATAAACGGGCTGTGCAGATGATGTGTTCGTTTGTTCCGTGTTAGCGGCAACAACGTGGTTAGTACGTGGCACATCGCTATACGTTCCACAGTTCAATCCACCAATACTCAAACTTTCACTACCATCCATCCTATCATACCACGTGTTAAGTGAAATGTACTCGTGCATGGTCCGTCCTCACCGCCATTTTTTATATTTTTTGATTCGTTTAGCATTTCCGTGCGTGATTGGTTACTGATTGATGAGTTGGGGATGTGAGGGAGGAAGGCGAAGATATGCGGAGATGTTGCAGGACGGGAGGAAGGTATTACCGTGCAGAGAGAGTGCTGTACGTATTACGAAGCGTTGCACGTATTACAATGGAACCATTCCTCTTCCTTCATCAGTCCCACTACAACTGCTTCTCCACCTCATCCACCCACTCATCCAGTCCCTTCATCCATCCCACACAATCAATCCATCTCCTCCTCCACACACACTCCATCACCCATCTAACCATCCCTTCATCACCAACAATCACATCACATCCATCCTCACCAACAACACCACCGTGCATTCTTATGATGCTTTGTACGTTGTACCTGTCCGGTATGCACCGATCTACCATAAATGTTTTGTTTTTGAATATTTTCTTGTTCTGGGCCGTTATGATCGATTTGGCAGATTGGTTCGGATTGGCGTAGAACTGCTGGTGAATTGATCGGAGGGTGTGCAGTAGGTTGAGCAGTTCCTTATCGTTGGCGTAATAATTTGAGTACGGTGTGGTGGTACTGGTACTAGGGCTGGTGCTCTTACCTTTGCTACCGTATTGTTTGTTGCTAAGCTGGTGCCTACCAGTACTACCCATGCTACTACTCTCTTGAGCACTCCCTTCCTCACCACTCCC